TTTCGTCGAAAATCCTCCTGTAGGGGGACAGGCCCGACTTAACACCAGGCGAGACCTCGACCGGCCAACCCAGCGCACGGTGCGCCCACGAGGCGCCCGCGACCGGGCAGCGACCAGCTTGGCATCGCTCGGACGCGTGTTTTTTTTTTCCTCCGGCGAGGACCATCGAGGAGCATCCTTGATCATTGGCCTCCGGCGGCCCAAACCTGCAGAATTGCCGTCTCCGCGTGCTGGGGCCGCTGGATATCTGGGGCGTTCCCCCACCGCGCTCCCCTCCCCCTTGGCATCGCTCGGACGTGTGCTTTCTCGGCGACGGCCATCGAGGAGCATCCTTGATCACTTGGCGAAAAAAACACGCACGAAATCGAAACATACACGAGGAATGGACGTCCGAGCGATGGCCAGCCAGGCACCAGGCGAACTATTGACAGGCCCGTCCGCTCCCACAGTTGAGAACACCTGAGTGCAAGCACTGCTGTTGGGACAAATGCATGGACGGAACAACGAAACAGCCAGTAGTTCTGTGAGAAAGAAGAGCCAGGGCCCGCGTGTGGAACACATTCTGGCATCGGAGGCTTGCGGCAGATGGACGATCGAGGTGTTCGGGCATCCTTCGTTTTTCGGGCTCCTGGAGCGCCCTCTCCGCCGTAGACGGATTCGCTTCGAGATCCTGGTCGGAAGACGCCCCCCAGGACAGGCGTCGCCGAAGCCCTGGACACATCTCGCAACTTCGGCATCGGAGGACATCCAGTATCTCTGTTCTTGCGGGGTCCTCGCTGCCACCCGAGAGGGGTCCAGGGAGTGAGGTTGGCCCATACCAGGACATCCGACGTCCCGACTTCGAGAGATCGTACCCAGCCCCCTTGGGACCAGCTTCTCACCATGGGATACCATAAAACTTACGCGTCTGCCGGCCCCTGCATTCAGTTTCTGGGGGAGGCGGGGCTCCTCGGTTCGGCTTCCAGACTCCTGCGGACGACGACCACAACGGTATAGGCATGTAGGAGCACCCTTGGAGGTCTTTCGCGCCGGCAGGCTCACATGTGCGGAAGCCGTCGAACGGGTCGAAGGCGAACGCTGATTGGGGGGAGGGAAGAGGAAGGGGAGGAAGAGGAGGCAGAGGAGAAGGAGGCCAAAGGACCCAGCCCCCTGACACTTCTCTGATGGACCGCCCCCCGAGTTGGCCTCCAGCGGCTCCAAACTGCAGAATTGCCGCCTCCACGTGTTGGGGCCGCTGGATATCTGTCGGGTATAGCCAGGACCCCGGGTAAGAGGATTTGGTTAGTGGTAGGGCCCTGGGGCCCTTCAATTTGCCGTAACTGGTGTTTCTCGGGTGACGGCAGTTCCGGTTAGTGGAAATGGGACAGGGGGGGCGCCCCCGGTACAAATCACTAAACCAGGTTCCACTAAACCCAGTTCTGCCAACGCCCGAATCTGGGGCGTTCCCCCACCGCGCCCCTCTCTCCACGCCCCACGCACACAGAGTACTCCGCTCAGCAGCCCGGACAAGTGGACTTGGGCGGAGCGGTAGAGGCTCCTTCACGGGACCCCGAGTCCGACGTCCGCATGTCCGCACGGACCACGAGGACGGTGGACAGACCGATGCCATCAGCGCGGTCAGCCCAACGGCCTCTTAGGAGGCCTCTTCGGCCCCTCCTGAGAGTCGGGTATGGCCAGGACCACGGGTAAGTGGTAGGGCCCCGGAGCCTTCCAATGGGCTAGAATCACTGAACCAGGTTTGCCATAGCTGGTGTTTGTTCGGGTGACGGCAGTTCTGGTTATTGGAAAGGGGACGGGGGGGCGCCCCCGGTACGGATCACGAAACCAGGTTCCATTAACCCCAGTTCTACCAACGCCCGATCTTAGGAGGCCTCTTCGGCCCCTCTCGAGAGTCTCGGGGGCCGTCTTCGGGCGGTCGGTGGGGAACTCCTTCTGGGCGGCCCCGGACGCTCTCGCGGCCGAAGCGGCGTGCGGGCGCCCTGGGCGTGTGAGGCGCCACGGCCCCGCTGTTCGGCGACGAGGTCCGAATTCTGCCCTCGCCGGTCAACGATTCAGGCACCTCTCGCAGGCAGAAGCACCCTGATCGGGTATGGCTAGGACCCCAGGTAAGGGGACCCAGTAAGTGGTAGGGGCCCGGAGCCCATGAATTGGCCAGAATCACTAAACCAGGTCTGCCGTAGCTGGTGTTTTTCGGGTGACGGCAGCTCCGGTTAGTGGAACGGGGCGGGGGGGCGTCCCCCATTACACATCATTAAACCAGGTTCCACTAAACCAAGTCTTGCGAACGCCCGACTCTCGCGGGCAGAAGCACCCTGACCATGACTGAGATGTCGCGGGATCGTGTCGATGCCGATCTTTGTGATGGTCCATGCCAGCCGTCGCCGATTCGCGAGGACGATCCGCGCAGTGACGTTGATCTGGATGGACTGTGACCAGGATCGGCACGACGTTTCCGCGCTCAGTCTTGGTCATGGTCTCCGCTGTTGCTCCCCAGAACTCGATGGGCGGCGGGGTAGGGTTCGGAATTTGTCGAACAGGCGGCGAGATCCGAACTCTACCCCCGCCTCCCATCCATTCAGGAGAATCGATGTTTCGTGGGGGTAGGGTTTTCCAGAAGCAAACCATGGGAGCCTTGTGTATCCTCGCAATTTCCTCTTTAGAGAGCAGTAGCGTCGGTTAGCGTCTGGTAATCGATCAGATACCGCCGATTTGGCGTCGATTTGGCGTCGATCAGCGTCGATCCGTCGTCGACAAGCGTCGATTCGCAAGAGCAAAGAAGGTAGTGTGGGAGGCTCCCATGAATCGCCGCAGAAGGATTCACACATGTCACATGTCGCCACCTAGCTGCCGATCTCCTCAGCAGGCGTTCCCCGCGCGCGCGCGCGGCACGGCACGGCATCGGCGCTCACTCGTTCGCTCGCCCGCACCCCACTCGCCGCGCCCAGTTGCGGGTCGAAGCTGCGGAGGGCTGCATTATGCCGAGCGGCTGCTACGCGTGGGGCTTGGCGCTGCGCGCGCAAGGGATGAGGGAGTGGGGGGGGGCGGGAGGATCAGAGGAGGAAAAGCTACACACACACCGCTACCCTTGGCGTCGTTTCCCATTTTTCGGGGCTCATTTGGGGACCTTCGTCGCCACCGCTGGATTCGGCTCGAAATTCTCGTCAGAACACGCCTCGGGAAAGGTCCGTGGAGTAGCGGATCGGTACCTTCTGAATTCCCCAGAGGAGGCGTGCACCATGCGTTGGTAGGAGGAATATAAGAAGGAGAAGGAGGAGGAGGAGGAGAATCAGGAGAAGGATGAGGAGGAGAAGGATGAGGAGGAGGAGGAGGAGGAGAAAGAGGAGGAGGAGGAGGATGGAGGAGGATGCAGAGGAGGACATTGTGGAGGAGGGCAAACACGGGCAGGACAATGCGGGATGAGGGGAAGGAGGAGGAGGGGGAGGAGGGTCTGGGGAGGGGGGCACGGGAAGAGGTGCAGCGTTGCAGCCGGAACAATGTTTTGAAGGACCGAGATCGTTCAAACAGAAAATTAATGCAATAACGAAAAGCATTAAAACGTCTTGCGTGGAGAAATGCAGTCGGCCCGGATTAGTAGGTCGACCCTGCCAAATCAAGGGTATTTTTGTGTCCTGTGTCTCGCGACCCGTGCTTCTTGCATTCCTATGGCAATGTGGCCTTCGGAAGGGTCTCGTGTCCTCTCGCGCGTCCTGTCCAATCAAGTCCGAATGTACACACGCGGGTGAGGCTGGAGACCAGTTGTACAGTACCAGGGGAGGGGAGAGGAGTACGGTACCCAGACGGGGGAGGAGAGCGGAGGGCGGCGGAGAGCCCGTTCTGTTGGCCGTGGGTGCGGCCTGAACCATCAACCAATTGGTTTTGTGGATGCCACGACAATGAAGACCCTAACAGTCCTATCATTGAGTTTTAAGTGTCTTTGAACTGTAGGGGCAATGTTCTAAACATGTGCTAAACATGTTTAACACACATATGTAAGCCATGTTTTAGACATCTGGAAGTTATTTGACAACATGCTTCCTCTCCATTGACCGTCTACAAAATTGGTAACAACGGTTCAAGCTCATGACGGCCGCCACCTCGCAATTTATTCACCAGGTGCCTGCGAGGGCTCGTTGGCGTGCACAGTAATGGCGCTTGTGGTATTGCGGGAGTTGTTCCTCACACGGGTCACAACGATGATGCAAATTTTGGTGACAACGGCGGCGGTGCTGAGTCAGGCCTTTTCTGGTTCGAGGGAGACGACGGCCACGAGAACGGTGTGCGTATAAAGTGCCAGGGATTGCGAGAGTGACGTTGCTGACGACGATAACGACGATGATGATCTTTAGCGGTGGTGCCAGTTCATTCGTACTCTACTTCTTGCTCATCGCAATTTCTCTGTTCCGATTCCTCCTCGTTCCTTCCCTCTTCCCCCTCACTGCCTCTTCATCCTTGCCGCGCACTGCGCCTTTTTCCCACCCTCCTCCTCTCTCCAACTTCTTGTCCTCCTGTTGCTCCTCTTCTCGCCCTTCCTCCCACTCCTCCTTCCCTCCTCCTCCATGCTGCTCCCTACTGCTCCCTCCCCATGCTCCCCCATCCTCCCCACCCCTCCCCTCGCCCGCTCAACCCTTCTTCTTCCCCTCCCCCCATCCCGCCCCCTCCCCCCCACCCCTCGCCCTCCGCTACAGTCCGTTGCCCCCCCCCCTCCCCCCAGCCCCCCGCCCTCTGCCCCCCCCCCATCTTCGGATGCAACTCCTGGGAGGTCAAATTCTGAGTGTGCCCTGGTCCGAAACCCGGCTTACTCAGGCCTACACCCGTTGCATCCCGCTTCATCCCGCTCCATCCGGCCTAATCTCGCTCAGTCCGAGGCCACTCCGCCGCAACAGCTCCCAACTGGGGCTTGCACCTCCTTGATCTTACTCCCGACGAACACCTCCCAGCAGTTGCCCCCTGACCCGTCCCCTCCTCGCGCCCTCCGGCCGCCGGCCCCGGCGCGCGCGCGCGGGAGCGCGCGCGTGCGCGCGCGGGAGCCGCGCCGCCGCGCCCCCCGTGCGCCCGCTGCTGCCGCGGGGCGCCGGGCGCCGCCACGATGGCGGAGGCGGAGGCGGAGGGCGCCCCCGCCGACGCCGCGGCCTCAGCGGCGGCCACGCGCAGAGGCTCGGCATCGCCCGGACTTTGTGCACTTTTCCTCGGCGAGAACCGGCGAGGACCATCTTGGACCATCGAGAAACAACAAACACGCACAAAGCCGAAAAGTGCACGGGAGATGGACGCCCGAGCGACGGCATGAGAGGGGGGGTGGGGGGAGGGGGGAAGGCTTCTGAGAAGCAACCCCTGCTTCTCAGAAGGCGCGGGCCTTCTCTATAGACGTGAGGCCGAGGCCTCAGCGGCGGCAGCGCGCAGAGGGGGGTTCTGCACGAGCGAGACGGGCAGGGAACAGAATGGGTACAGTACCCAACAGCAGTTCTTGTTCATTTTGGACAGGTCTCGGTGTCCACGCCGCCGCGGCCTGTGTCCATTTGAGGCAGAAGGCCGCCTGCCCAACAGCGGCCGCTGTTGGTTTGGGACAACATTTGTCGTGGGGCATTGTGCCCATTCTTTCCGTATCCATCTCGGGCGTCCAAAGGGGTGGGGGGAGGGGGGAGGGCTTCGCAGAAGCACCCCTGCTTCTCAGAAGGCGCGGGCCTGCTCTACGGACGTGAGGCCGAGGCCTTCTGGGAAGCAGGGTGCTTCGAAGAAGCCTTCCCCCCTCCCCCTGCCCCCTGTTGCGCGCCGCGGCCTCAGCGGCGGCGTGCAGCCAGGGCGCGGGCGGGAGGGCCACACTCCTCGCAGGAGGAGGAGCTGCGGACGCCGCGGCCCTGCCCGATCGTCGCGCCACGGCCGGGCTCGCCTCGGAGAGCCCAGGGCAGAGCGCACCCTGGGAGATTCAGGAGGAGAAAAAACACACAGACACAGTTAATCGTCGATTCCCTAGAAAATATTTGAAAATATGGGAAGTGGGGGGCAGACAAAAACCCATAAAAGATTGGAAACTCTGGGGAATCATGTTATTTCTGTGTATGTATTTGTGTGTCCCAGGGCCCCTTCAGAGATGTCCGAGGAGCAGCGGAATCGGTATTATTGGGAGGTTGGTAGACCTCCCACCCTGACACGCCGATTGAAGAATTGGCCGTTTTCGGTTCGCGAGAGGGCGTCGCGGCCGTCATTCCTGCGGGTCCGGGTCCGTCGGTCTCGGCCCCAGGCCGTTTTTCCACTGAGGGGAGGTTTACGAAAGGGCGGTCTGTCCACTGCCGAGGTTCTTGGGCCCCCACCCCCCCTCAGGGAGGCCGACAGGGAGGCTGGGACTGGCTCCAATTCCCGATCGCCCATTCCTATTCCTCGCCGATCGCCCATTCCTCGCCCAATCCCGCCGCATTCCCGATCGCCCATTCCCGATGGGGATGCAGCATCCAATGCCCGATCGCCCATTCCTCGCCGATCGCAGCCTTGGCGTGCCAACCCGCCCAGGGAGGCCGAGTTTCCAAGCTGGGGCCCATCGGCGATCTGTCGGCGCCCCCCCCCGCCCCGTGGCCGCGTGGGGCGCGCAGCGGGCGCGCCGGGGCTCCCGGGGGCCCCTCGGCGCCCGAGGCGGGGCTCGGGCTCGGCTCGCTGGCGCAGCGCTTTGAGAAGGACGGCGCCGCTGCCGCCGCCCTCCTCACCCCGACCTCCTCCTCCTCCTCCTCCTCCTCCTCCTCCTCCTCCTCCTCCTTTTTCCTCCCCCTCCTCCTCCCTCCTCCTCCTCCTCCTCCTCCTCCTCCCCTCCTCCTCCTCCTCCCCCCTCCTCCTCCTCCTCCTCCTCCTCCTCCTCCTCCTCCTCCTCCTCCTCCTCCTCCCTCCTCCTCCTCCTCCTCCTCCTCCTCCTCCTCCTCGCTCCTCCTCCTCCTACTCCCCCTCCTCCTCCCTCCTCCTCTCCCTCCTCCTCCCTCCTCCTCCTCCTCCTCCTCCTCCTCCTCCTCTCCTCCTCCTCCTCCTCCTCCCTCCTCCCTCCTCCCTCCTCCTCCTCCTCCTCCTCCTCCTCCTCCTCCTCCTCCTCCTCCTCCTCCTCCTCTCCTCCTCCTCCTCCTCCTCCTCCTCCTCTCCTTACCCATCCCCACTTCTCCCTACTCCTCCTCTTCTTCCTCGTCCCTCCCACCTCCCTCCCTCCTCCTCGTCCCTCCTCCTTCCTCCCACTCTGCATTCCAACTCCTGGTCCCCCATACTGCTCCCTGCCTATCCCCGTACTTTCCTTTCTTCGGCGAGAGCACGGAAACTGCTTACAAGAAGTTCCTCCCTAGTTCTCCCTACTCTTCCCTCCTCCATTTCCTCCTGCCTCTTCCTCCTTCCTCCTCGTCCCAGCGCAAGCGCACTCCAGAGGTGCGCTGGTGCGTCCCTCTTTCCCATGCTCCGATTCCGGCCCTGGGCCCGCCGAGGCTCGTCGGCCTCGGCCAGGAGTCCCTCGAGCGTCGAGCTTTCGGGGGTGGCCAGGGGGAGACGGGGCTAGGACGAGGATTAATCCGTTCCAGAGCGTGCCGGAACGCTCTCAGAGCGTTCTTGAACGCTCTGAGAAGGCCGCGGCGCCCGAGGCATTTTTCAGAGCCGCAGGATCTCTGAGGTTCTCGATGTATCATCACCCGAAACTGTCCTCGTCTTGTCCACGTCTAGGCCCGCTGTGGCCACAGACGCTCCTTCGTGCCCTCTCCATGCGCTCCTCGTGCTGGCTCGAGGACTGTACCGCTGCTCGCCCCACAGAGAGCTCTCGTCGCCACGGCTGGGTTCTCCTCGAGATGTATGTCGGGGGTGGACAGACCTCCTACCCTGACACGTCGATCAAGGAATTGGCCGTTTTCGGTTCGCGAGGGGGCGTCGCGGCCGTCATTTTTGCGGGTCCAGGTCCGTCGGTGTCGGTCCCAGGCCGTTTTTCCACTGAGGGGAGGTTTACGAAAGGGCGGTTTGTCCACCGCCGAATATACGGTCGGGACACAGCCCGGTCGAGGTCTGTGAACGCTCTCGGGCTTCGCTCGGCCTCGGGACGCCTCCGCACGGCTCTCTGGGGGACCTGCGCGGGGCCCGGCTGCTCTCCGAAGGATCTCCGGGTGCGTGTCCGCAGGCCTCCAGAGGACTCCTGGCGACGTCGGTCGTCATCGCTGTCGTCGTCGTCGGCGGCGTCGTCGTCGTCGGCGTCGTCGGCCGTCTTCGTTTGTCGTTCGTCGTCGTAATTACATCAGTGGTCGCCATCGCCGGATGTGGACGAGGCGGTGGAGGGGTGTGGTGGGAGGAAGAGAGGATGGGGAGTGGGCTCTGTGGTATTCCACTCTGTGTTCACCAGGTTATGGGGGAAGAGACAGGATCGGGCCGAACGAAAGGGGGGGATAGGGAAATGGGGGGTTACGGAATCTGCTGCATGCAGCCGGTTTCGGCCCCGCCGCGGGGCCCATTCCTCGATTCGCCTCCCGGCGCCGGGAGGCGCCGGGACAATCAGCTACGTGAGCTGATTCTCAACCCCCCCCTTTGCTATCACCCCCTTTCGCCCAGCCCGAAAGGAGGCACTGATGGTGAGGTTGAGGCGGGCGAAGCTGGCGAGGGGGAGGATGACGAGGAGAAGCAGGGGAGGAGGTCGAGGAGGAGAAACACGAGGTGGAGCAGGAGAAGGAGAAGGATGAGGAGGAGGAAGAGATGGAATAAGAGAATAAAAAGGGAGCAGGGAGCAAGGGGAAACGGGGGAGGGAGGAAACGAGGAGCAGGATGAGGCAGGAGCCCTCCCGAATTTCTCCACGCCCCTGTGTCCCTCATCCATCGAATCACCCCTCCCTCCCTACGACTCTTCCCCCCCCCTGTAGAGGCTTCCGTGTGCTTGTGCCACTCATCTGCAGTGGGGCGCGGATGCCGCATCATCGTTCTCATACTCGCAGTTCCGAGGTACATAGCTTGCCGTGTTTTGATAGCCAGCGCGCCCTTGACCCAACGACAGAGAACTCGGGCTACATACGGCAGATTCGTTTCGTGTCGAAGCGGCGACGGCACAGCATGAGCGATTAAGGATGAACGCCGCCAGTGGCCAAAAGTCGTCCAATATGGAACGATCTGGCGATCGACAAGCCGCCGATCGTTCAGCGTTGAACGATCCATGCGGTGTCAGAAACCGACGCCGAAGTCGTTACAACACGAATTTGCCGTACGGTAGGTTCGTGTGGTGTCGACCGGCGGCGACCCAGCTGCCGCCGTTTAACGTGGAACGCTGCAGGCAACCCAGGATCGTTGGATGTTGAATTGGACGTTTCGGACATTGCAGATCGTTCAAGATTGAACGAGCAATGCGTTGTCAGAGACCAACGCCGAAGTCGTCAACACCCAAACCTGCCGTACGCACCTCGGCACACGCATATCATTTGGGGAGAAGACGACGGGATGCCCCTCCCACACACACGTCTTCTCGATCGGTTCCTTGTTTGTGTCTCTGAGTTGTCCCCGGGAAAGTAGATCTTCCGAGGGTCATCACTCAATCTAAATGGTTTCACGTCGATTGCACCGCATATATTGCTACACCTATATCACACAACGTTGACTGCACCACATGCATTGTCCCACATGTACATGTGCTGATATAGATATAGATGTATGTACATATTCGGATATTGCACAACATACGTTGTTATAATCACACTGTTCGGGGTACACGCTGGCTCACCTAATACATTTCGAGGGTTATTCTTCGTTCGTGTAAACGGAGTGCAAGTCCCCTCTTCCTGAGCATTGGCCTCCACAGGACGGCATCGACACCGCCTTTCTCGAAGAGCCCTTCCTCGAGGAGTCGGAGCTGGGCGATGGTGAGTCCCTGCGCGCAAGGCTGGTGACGCTCTCGCCAGACGACCGCAGGAGTTCTTTTTGTTGCACGATTATAGCAATTGCTCGACGGTGCATCGCGGCTGCAGGAAGCAATGCACGACAACGTCAGGCCCCACATCCTCTTTGCTATTGTTGTTGTTGGTTTGCTGCTGCTATACAGTGGCCGACCAGATGGCAGTGGAGTGAACAGAGGAGGAAGAGATGCGGATACCGCTGACGCACCCCCTGCAGATGCTTGGAGGGTTGCGGTATCGGCATCTTTCGTTTGCCCCATAAATTGAGGCCAGCGGCCTGGGGCCAACGGGGATGTGCTGGGCCTGCGGGCGTGGCATTGTGGTAGCAGCTCGCCTCGGTAGGAGGAGGGGGTGGAGGTGGAGGAGGAGGAGGAGGGCCACATGGGTTGGTGGGGCTGAGAAGGGAACAGTAGTGCCTAGCGGCGACGGTCATCGTTGTCAGCAACCAGGGCTAGCGGCGGTCAGTCGGGGGACAGGCTCTTTTGGAACTTCGAGGAGGAGGAGGAGGAGGAGGAGCAGGAGGAGGAGGAGGTTGGTGGTGGCAAGTTGGGGCGAGGCAGCAGCGATCGCTCGCCGGGCTTTCGAGGCCACGCCCGCCGCAGTGGCGTCCAGCAGGGGCTATTTGCAAGGGCCAGTGGTGGCGACCAGCGCCAGCGGCAGCGAGAGCTGCTCTGTAGCTAGAACGGGGGGGGGGGGCCAGCGACAGCCAGCACTGGCAGTACCTGGGGCCTCATTGGGGCTGTGGCCGGTTTTTTTGTGTAGTGTAAGCGTTGTGTCAGGGAAAGGGAACCTTCTTGACTTGTCGCCAGTGCTGGTCGGCGCCAGAAGCACAGACCCCCTCTCTGAGGTGGGAGGGGCTCAAGCGCCGACCCAAGAGATCTGCGCGGACCTTCGAACGTTTGTGACCGTGTAGTGGTTGGTCTTCTATGGGTCTCTCTTCCCACCTCCCTGAGCAGGAAGTTCTTGAAGACCGTTGACCAGCACGGCCGCACTGGGCTCATCATCGCCGCTCGGCGCGGCGACGCGGACCTCACCGCCGTCTTGCTGGACCCCTGCGTCAGCGGCGGCGGCGGCGGTGACGGCGACGATGCCGACGACGAGGGATGCAGGGAAGGAGAGGAAGAGGGAGAGGTGAGGAGGACGGGGAGGACAATGATGTGGAGGGTCAGAAGGGTGGTGTGCAGGAGCAACCAGGAGGCGCGCTGGCAGGCCCGAGCCAGGCCCATCCCTGAACTCTGGCTTCCTGGAGTGGCTTCCATTTTTTTTTGTTTTATAGTTTTCAGTATTGCGCATGGTGTTTTCTCATCGTGGCTAAGTAAGGCATGCCGCTCTAGGCCTCCTAGATCCCAGATGGGATCGGAGGAGCGCGTTGCATGGCCGATGCTGGCCGATGCATTAGCGCATCGGCTGGATGTGAAGTCAGATGTTCTTTACGCCGACGTCGCCGATGCATCGGCGGTAGGACGCGATCCTCCGACCCAATCTACTTGGACCACATTTGGGAGGGGAGACATCCAGCCGCTTCGAGGCGCCATGTGAGAGTCATTGGATTCTAAGGTTGTATCGTGCAGCTTGTCTTCTCCCCCTTCTGCTTCTCGTCGTCCTGGAATCAAGACTGGCTGGACACGGGCAGCCCTGGAAGAAGACGAGCTGGTGCGATCGAGGTAGAAATTGTTGCACTGGCTTGGCACGCTCCATGGCAAGTGTACTGACACTTCTCAAGCCTTCCGTTGCCGCCTTCTTCTGGCTTCGCCTGGTGCTCCCGCGGTCAGGACTGGATGAGGTACCCTCTGCTGGCGGAGTCTGGTGCCCCTGGGCTCAGAACTAGACAGGACAGCCCCGCCCCTGGCACTGGGGTCGGAGGTGTGCTTCGCAGCGACAGTGCCCACTCACCCGAGGGCCATGGACTATCACCCGAGCTCTCGGCCTCGCCTCGGCGCGGGACCCTCCGAGCGGGACCTCGGTGCGCGAGTGTCCCCCGGGGGGCCGAGGCGGGGCGGCGGCGCCCGCCGCGGCTCTTCCACGACGCGCGGACGCCGCGGGGACTGGAGAGCCCGGGCCGGGCCCAGACGCCCTGCAGACTGGGCGCAGCCGGGGGGGGGGGGGGGCTGTGGCCTCGGGGCGGGCGGAAAAGAGGGGGGGTGATGACCAGGGAGGGGGGGCATCTCATGGCGGGGGCCATAAGAGTTCCCCAGATCTCATGGCGCGGGGGGGATGTCACGGCGGGGGCCATGATATTTCCCCAGATCTCATAGCGCCTCTTCTCATTTCATGACGTCTCTTGCCACCCCCCGCTGGGCCGCGCACGTGCCGCCGGTCCTGATCTGCGCCCCCCCCTCTTGTGGACGCCCCCCTCTTGGCCGCTCCCGATGGCCCCTGCCCCCCGCGCGCGACGCCGCGGCGCTCGGGCCCACCGCTCGAGAGAGTGCCGGCACGATGGGCTCCCAAGGGGGGGGGGGAGCTCAGTCACGCGCAGAGTGGGGTGGGGGAAGGGGGGAGGGCTTCTTGGAAGCACTCCTGCTTCCTAGAAGGCGCGGCCCTTATCTGTAAATGCGAGGCCGGCGCCTCCTAAGAAGGAGCCTCCTTCTAAGAAGCCCTCTCCCCGCCCTCCACCCCCTTCTTGCGCGCCGCCAAGGAGCAGAGTTCCCCCCGTTGCTGCTTTGTCGGCCCTGCGGCTCCCCTTGCTCGGGGGCGTCTCGGTCCTCTCGGGGGTCCCAGGTGGGCCGCGCGGGGCCGCCGGTGAGATGGCCAGGAGTCCTGGCCATCTCTTGCCCGAAGGACGGAGTCTGGGCCATCTGAGATGGCCAAGACTCGAGGAGGAGGAGGAGGAGGAGGAGGAGGAGGAGGAGGAGGAGGAGGAGGAGGAGGAGGAGGAGGAGGAGGAGGAGGAGGGGACAGGGGGACCCTGCCTCGGGGCTGGCTCCGCTGCATCCCGAGCAGTTCTCCAGTGTGCCTCCGACAGAGATAGATCCTGACGCTTAATTCTCCATGCTGAAGGTTATATCCCTTGGCGAAGAGGAAGAGCCAGATCAACTATTCCGCGTGAGGCGTTCGGCATTCGGCGTGGGTTCGTGGCACCAAGCCCGCGGGTGACGAGCAGGGCCAGCCCTGGCTCACGGGGACAGGATTTGTTTGCGGAAGTTGGGCAGGGAGGAGATTGTTTTTGCATCCTTTGCCGACATCTGGCGTGACCAGGGGGGTGGGGGGGCGTTCACGTCGCACATCGCGCTGGCGCCTCTGGGAATGCCTGCAGGAATCGTGACGTGACCAGGGGTGGGACGGGGGGGCGAGCGGGGCCAGTCACGGGCGTTTCTCGCAAATGATAAACAAACGGGTCCATGGAGACCCGAAGCGGCAGCAGCCGTGAGCGAGCACACATGCACGCCGGTCTTTGAAAGTATGTATTCTTCAAGCGCCCTCCTTCTTCAAAACTCTATATATGTATATATACATTCGCTATGGTCTCTTATCCCCTGAGAGGGCTTGAACCCAATCTACTTGATCCGCCTTCCTACTTAGCGGGCGAAGAATGGTATGAAATAAACCGTCCGCCGTCGGGGACACCTGCCCCTGGGCGGCTGGAAAGTTTCTACCCCTACGGTGCCACCGTAGGGGCATACATTTTCCGGCCGCGCTGGGGCAGGTGTCCCCGACGGCGACAAAGTTTATCTTATACCGTTCTTCGCCCGTTAAGCCGTGAGCGAGCATACATACACGCTGATCTTTGAAAGTATGTATTCTTCAAGCGCCTTCCTACTTCAAGACTCTATGTCGTTTTGCTATGCCTCTGAGAGGGCTTGAACCCAATCGACTTGATCCGCCGTCCTACTTCATGCTTTCACCTACTTCTTCCGGACGACGTGTCTCCGCAGCCGCGGCCCAGCGGGCGGCGCCGCTGGGCCACGACGCCTCGGGGGGCGGGGCGTCTTCCCGCGGATGCCCCCCGCGCGGGGCGCGGCTGGGGGGGCGCGCCTCCGCGAGGTCGGCCCGCTGGAGCCCAGACCGCGAGGGCGCCGATGCAGTCGGCCCGGATGAGTATAGAATCAGAGCCCCGAATCCTCCGGGGTAACTCGGGTCGGGGCGAACTCGGCTTCGTTTTACGGGAATCCGAACCCGAGTTGCCCCGGACCCGAGTTACCCCGGGTAGTTCGGGCGTCCAGGGCCCCGAGTCATCAGGGGTAGCTGGGGTCAGGGCCAACTCGGGTTCGTTTTTCGGGATTCCGAACCCGAGTTACCCCGGACCCGAGTTACCCCAGATAACTCGGGCGCCCAATAAAATCAAGCATGTCCCCCTACAGGAGGAATGTTCAAACATAGTCAAAACATAGACTGGGAAAGAGGTATTCATTGTTGTTTTATGTTTGTTGCATATTGTTTGAATATTTTCCATGTGTCCAAAATCCGCCTGTAGGAGGACATGCCCGACCTAAGATTAGGTCGACCATGCCAAATCGAGGGTACCCTTGTCTGTCCTGTCCATGCAGACCTGTGCAACCCGTATGTCCTACGGCGTTCTGGGGCCACGTCGTCATCGGAAGAGTCTTGTGTCCTCTCGGGTGCCCTGCCCACTCCGGTCCGACGGTACGGATGTTTCGGGTGCAACTCCTGGGAGGTCAAGTTCTGATTATGCCCTGGTCTGAAATCCGGCTTAATCCCGCTTAATCCGGCTGAATCCCGCTTAAGCCGAGGCCCACTCCGGCGTAACAGCTCCCAATGGGGCTCACTCCTCCACAAGCTTTCCGACGAAAGCCTCCCAGTAGTTTCAGCCACGCGCAGGGGGGGGAGGGGGAGGGGGAGGCCTCCTTAGAAGCACCCCCGCTTCTTAGAAAGGCGCGGGCCTTGCCTGTAGAGATGTAAGGCCAGCGCCTTCTAAGAAGCAGCCTCCTTCTAAGAAGCCCTCTCCCCTCCCTCCACCCCCTTTTGCGCGCCGCCAATAGTTGCCTCCTGAGGATGTGTTCGCCCCTCGTGAGGACAGGCTGGCACGGGGCGCGCCTCCGCGAGGTCGGCCCGCTTGAGTCCAGACCGCGAGGGCGCCGATACAGTTGGCCCTGATTCGTATAAAATCAAGCATGTTCCCCGTAACAGCTCCCAATGGGGCTCGATCCTCTTCAATCTTCCCGACGAGAGCCTCCCAGCAGCTGCCTCCCGAGGACGTGTCCGCCCCTCGTGATGGGGAGGCCGGCCCGTCGCCCCTCGACCTGCCCGAGAGCCGCCGGGCGGGGCCTGCCCGCGCGAGGACGCCGGGGCCAACCCCAACGAGTGCGACGCCTCGGGCTCCACCGCCCTGCACTACGCGGGCGGCCGGGGGTCGGCGGCGGTGGTGGAGGCTCGCTCCGACCTGCTGCTGCCAGCTCGGCATCGCTTGGACGTGTGCACTTTTCCTTCGGCGAGGACCATCGAGGAGCATCCTGAATAATTCAGAGCCCCGAATCATCAGGGGTAACTCGGGTCAGGGTTAACTCGGGTTCGTGTTTCGGGGATCCAAACCCGAGTTACCTCGGATAACTCGGGCGCCCAAATAATCTGGCGAAAAAGCCACGCACGAAACCCCAAAAAACAGAGGGAGTGGACGTCCGAGCGATGGCCAGCCAGGGCTGCTGCGTCTCGTCCTCCCCTCGGGCCGAAGGAAAGGGGGGGATATAATTAGGGAAGGGGGGATGGCGAAGTCTGCCGCGTGCAGCTGGTTTCAGCCCCACCTGTAGGGCCCAGTCCTCGAGACATGGCCGCCTCCGGCGCCGGGAGGCGCTCTGGGAAGATCAGCTGCGTGAGCTGATTCTCCCCCCCCCCCCTGTCGCCCGGCCCGATCGCCTGTCCCCGGCCCTGTCGCCCGCCCCACCCCCCCCCCATCCCCGTCGCCTGCTATTCCCCCCTGTCGCCCGGCCCGATCCCTCCAGCTGTGCGCGCGTTCGGGGTCTCTCTGCCCCCTTGCCGCGTTCTGTGCCGCGTGCTCGCGCCCCTCGGCGGCAGCCGCTGCCAGCGGGGGGCGTCCCGCAGGCGGGCCCTCTCGCACGCGTCGCCGCTCTTCGTGGGCTCCTGGGAGGCACGGTGCAGGGGAGGGCGTCACGCATGGTTTGAGAACCCGCGGCTCCCTCGGTGGCTGCGAATCGCGCGGTTGTCGCCACGCTCGTGGGCTCTTGGGGGGCACGGCGGAGGTGCGGGAGGAGGAGGAGGAGGAGGAGGCCTCGCGGTTGCGTCGGGGCCTGCGAGCTGCGCAGCAGTCGTCACGTTCGAGAGCTCCTAGGAGGCATGGCGGAGGCGAGGGCAACGCAGATCCAGGCGAGGCCTCGAGGCTCCGTCGGGGGGCTGCGAGCTGAGCAGACGTTGTTTCTTTTCTGTAGGCTCCTCGTGGGGCCCGGCGGAGGTGCGGGCAGCGCAGATCCCGGCGAGACCTCGCAGATTTGCCAGGGTCTGCGAATTGCAGGAGGGAAACAGAAACACACACAGGCACAATGAACCGTCGATTCCCCAGAAAGTACGGGAAAATATAAGAAGGGGGGGGAAGACATAATCTTAGAAAATATAGGACAATTTAAGGAATCTGGTGATTTGTGTCTATTTATGTGTGCGTGTGCGTGTGCGTGTGCGTGTGCGTGTGCGTGTGCGTGTGCGTGTGTGTGTGTGTGTGTGTGTGTGTGTGTGTGTCGCACTGCCAAAGGCGCACGTCCAGCCACCGCGAGAGCAACTGGCCGAGGCCTGAACGAGGAAAATGCCCCCCAGGGCCTTCAGCTCAATAGTGGCACCGAGCACTCACGAGCAGCTTTGAGTTCAAGACCTCCGCAGGCCACGAACCCCAGAACACGGAGACGAACGCCATCTCCGATGGCACTCGCGCTTGGCTGACGGGGTCGCCCATCACGAGCAGCTGCGCAGAGTCAAACCCAGGACGAGACTCTGGAACCCAAAACGCGGATCAGGCCAGCGGAGCTTCCGCCGCCCGGCCCTCTCCTTCTCCGCCGGGGACTGGACCGGAGGGGCGGGGAGCGGCCCCGGGCACCTCGTGGCCAGGAGCCGGCTCTGCTTGCGGCCGCAGGCCCCGCACGGTCGGCAGAAGACATACGGGGGCCTCGATAGAACCTCGTGGCCTCCTTCATGCACGAGCTCCTCCCCAACCGCCCCCTCCGCCGCCCGAGCCGCCCCTCCCCCTCCATCGCCGTCGGCAGAGGGCGTCGCACGGGCGTCCTCGCCGAGCTCGAGCTCTGCGTGTGCGTGTGCGTGTGCGTGTTGCGTGTTGCGTGTTGCGTGTTGCGTGTGCGTGTGCGTGTGCGTGTGCGTGTGCGCGTGCGTGTGCGCGTGCGCGTGCGCGTGCGTGTTGCGTGTTGCGTGTGCGTGTGCGTGTGCGTGTGCGTGTGCGTGTGTGCGTGTGTGCGTGTGTGCGTGTGTGCGTGTGTGCGCGTGCGCGCGTGCGCGCGTGCGCGCGCGCGTGTGTGTGTGTGTGTGTGTGTGTGTGTGTGTGCGTGTGCGCGCGTGCGCGCGTGCGCGCGCGCGTGTGTGTGTGTGTGTGTGTGTGTGTGTGTGTGTGTGTGTGGGTGTGTGTGTGTGTGTGTCCCAGTTCCCCTTCAGAACTGCGCAGCCGTCGCCACTATCCTGGGCTCCTGTGGGGCACGAAGGAGGCGAGAGCAGCGTAGATCCAGGCGAAACCTCGCGGCTCCGTCGGGCTCCGAGCTGTTCATTCGTCGCCACATTTGTTGGCTCCTGGGAGGTCCTGCGGAGGCGGTGGTCAGACAGACCATCGCGGCTCCCTGGGGGGCTGCCAATTGCGCAACAGTTGCAATTTTCGTTGGCTCCTGGGAGATCCAGAAAAGTAGATAGTCACGCAGATCCAGGCGGGACCTCGCGGGGCTGTTTTTCATATCAACGTTTGCATGGGGCGTCAGCAGGAGGACTCTCCCCGTGAGGAGTCGGGGCATCATATCTAAAATGTGTACAGGCATAAGCACATGAATCGAAGACGCTTACGGCGAATCACCGCCGGCCCTTGCCTTTTTGGAAGCGCCTGCGTGGCCGAAAATTGGGCTTGAGCTTGGCCAACCTATCGGGCCACGCGTTCCCCGAGTGGGTTTCGAAAGCCTTCGGGGAACACGGAGTCGGGCGAGCTAACGGACCAGGTGGTTTCCGAGCTTTCGGGCCTCCTGGAGGACGTCTTGGAGAGGTCTTGGGCCGTTTTGGAGGCCTCTGGCGGGCCTTATGGGCAGTCTAAGGCCATCTTCAGGCCATCTGGGGCCGTCTTGGGCGCATCTTGGGGCCATCTTCGCCGTCTTGGAGGCATCTTGGAGGTCATTGTCGCCGTCTTGGAGGCCATCTTGAGCGTCTTGGATGCCTCTGAAGCCGTGTTAGCGCCCTCTTGGGGCCGTTTTGGGGGCCGCTTGGGACGTAATATGGCCATTTTGGAAGCCTCTTGGGCGATCTTTCGGGCCTCTTGGGCAGTCGTGGGCCGTCGGAAGGCTGGAAAATAGCAAAAGCCAAGTCCTTCAAAAACCGAAAACCAATGATGTTGGCCTCTTCGGCATCTCGTGGAGGGCCTCTTGGGGCGTCTTGGAGGCCTCTTGGAGGCCTCTGGGGCCGCCTTGGGCCGTCTTAGAGGTTTCTTGTGCGAATTTGGAAGGATCTTGGACTTTTGGGCCGTCTTGGAGGCCATCTTGGGCCATCTTGGCCATCTTGGACGCCATCTTGGACGCCATCTGGAGCAGGAAAAACCTTTGCAACCCGATTTTGGGCAGTCGTTGGGGCCCTTTTGGGACCTGGGCGTGACGGGCCGACGCCCCAGGGAGTTTACTAAAAGAGCCAAAACCTGAAACATCCAGCACGCCGTGCACCCCTGTGGCAAGCCAACAGGGGGTGGCGGATCGAAGACGCCTACGGCGAATCACCGCCGCCCCCTGTTTTTGGAAGCGCCTATGTGGCCGAACGTTGAGGCCAGACCTGCCAAGCTATCGGACCATGTGTTCCCCTAATCGGTTTGGAAAGCCTTCGGGGAACACGTGGGCATCGTGAAGGTCATCTTGGCCGTCTGGAGGCCATTTTGACCCTTTCGGGCCTTCTTGGAGGACGTCTTGGAGGGCTCTTGGGCCGTCTTGGAGGCCATCTTGAGCGTCTTGGAGACCTCTTGGGCCGTCTTGGGGGCCTCTTGGGGCCGTGTCTTGGGCCTCTTGGGCGATCTTTGGGGGCACTTGGGCCGTCTCGGGCCGTCGGAAGGCAGAACAAAAAAAAGCAAATGCCACACTCCTTCACAATTTTGGCCTTTTCGGGCCTTCCTGGAGGCCCTCTTGGAGGCCTCTTGGGCCGTCTTGGGCCATCTTAGGGCCATGTTCGGCCGTCTAGGTGGGCTCCTGGTCCGTCGGAAGCCGTTTGGGGGGCCTCTATGGGCCGACTTCGGGCTCTCTTGGAATGCTCCAGGGCCGTCTTGGAGGCCATCTTGGGCGTCTTAAAGGCCTCCTGTGCTGTCTTGGGGGCCTCTTGGGCCGTCTTGGGGCCCTCTTGGGGCGTTCTGGGGCCACCCTGGAGGCCTCTTGGGCGATCTTTCGGCGATCTTTGGGGGCTCTTGGGCTGTCTCGGGCCGTCATAATACCGAAAAGAAGCAAATGTCACAATCCGTCAAAACCTTAGGAAAACCAATATTTGTTGGCCTCTTCTGGCCTTCCTGGAGGCCCTCTTGGGGGCCTCTTGGGCCGTCTTGGACCAGCTTCGAGCCAACTTCGGCCATCTTGGTGGGTTCCTGGCACGTCTGACGCTGTCGGGAGCCGTCTTGAGGGCCTTTCTGGGCCGACTTGGGGCCCTCTTGGGGCGCTTCGGGGCCGTCTTGGAGGTCATCTTGGGCGTCTTGGAGACCATCTTGGGTGTGCTGGAGGCCTCTTGGGCCGTCTTGGGGCCCTCTTGGGGCCGTCTTGGAGGCCACCTGGGCCGTCATGGGGCCCCCTTGGGGGCCTCGTGGGCGATCTTGGGGGCCTCTTGGGCTGTCTGGAGCCGTCGGAATGCCGAGAAGAAGCAAATTCTAAAGTTCTTCAAAAGCCTAAGGAAAATCAATGATTTTGGCCTCTTCGGGCCCTCCTGGAGGACCTCTTGGAGGCCTCTTGGGCCGTCTTGGAGGCCTCTTCGGCGCCTCTTGGGCCGCCTTGGGCCAGCTTGAGGCCACCTTAGGCAGTCTTGGGTGCATCTTGGGCCGTCTGGGAGGCATCTTTGAGCTATCTCCGCCGTCTTGGAGGCCATCTTTGCCGTCTTGGATGCATCTTAGAGACCATCTTGGGCCGTCTTGGAGCCGTCTGGAGCAGGGAAAACCTTTGCGACCAGGTTTTGAGATCCTTCCCGGGACCCCGGCGGGACGCGCCGGAGCCCCAGGGGGAGTTCTTTTGGAAAAACAACCAAAACCAAAACCGAGAGGATCTAGCACGCCAGGCACCCCTGCCATGAATCGACAGGGGGCGGCGGATCGAAGACGCCTACGGCGAATCACCGCCGCCCCCTGCCCTTTCGGAAGCGCCGATGCGGCCGACTGCTGTGGCCAGAGGTCTGCCAAGTTATTGGGCCATATGTTCCCCGAATCGGTCTTTACAGCCTTCGGGGAACACGTGGGGGAGGACGGGGAGGAGAGGAGAGCTGAAAAGAAGAACATGCCAAAATCCTTCAAAAACCTGAGGAAAATCAATGATTTTAACCTATTCGGGCCTTCCTGGAGGGCGTCTTGGAGGGCTCTTGGGCCGTCTTGGAGGCCTTTTGCCGGCCTTTTGGGCCGTCTTAGACCATCTTGAGGCCATCTTGGGCCGTCTTGGGTGCATCTTGGAGCCATCTTACCCGTCTTGGAGGCCATCTTGGCCGTCTTGGAGGCATCTTGGAGGCCATCTTGGGCCATCTTGGCCGTCTTGGAGGCCATCTTGGGCGTCTTGGAGGCCTCTTGGGCCGTCTTGAGGCCCTCTTGGGGCCTTCTTGGGGGCCTCTTGGGCCGTCATGGGGCCATCTTGGAGGCCTCTTGGGTGCTGTTGGGGCGATGTTGGGGACCTCATGGGCCGTCTGGGGCCGTCGGAGAGCTGAAAAGAAGAACATGCCAAAATCCTTCAAAAACCTAAGGAAAATCAATGATTTTAACCTATTCGGGCCTTCCTGGAGGGCGTCTTGGAGGGCTCTTGGGCCGTCTTGGAGGCCTTTTGCCGGCCTTTTGGGCCGTCTTAGACCATCTTGAGGCCATCTTGGGCCGTCTTGGGTGCATCTTGGAGCCATCTTACCCGTCTTTGGAGGCCATCTTGGCCGTCTTGGAAGCATCTTGGAGGCCATCTTGGGCCGTCTTGGAGGCCATCTGGGGCCAAGTTGGGGCAACAAAGGCATTGACAGATGGATTTTCGGAAACTTGCGGGTGGCCGGCGGGACGGGCCGAAGCCCACTGGGGAGTTCTTTTAGAAAAAGAACCAAAACCAAAACCTGAAACATCCAGCACGCCGTGCACCCCTGTGGCAAGACCACAGGGGGCGGCGGATCGAAGACGCCTACGGCGAATCACCGCCGCCCCCTGCCTTTTTGGAAGCGCCTATGTGGCCGAACGTTGAGGCCAGACCTGCCAAGCTATCGGACCACGTGTTCCCCGAATCGGTTTGGAAAGCCTTCGGGGAACACGTGGGCATCTTGAAGGTCATCTTGGCCGTCTTGGAGGCCTCTTGGGCAAGCTTTGGGCGATCTTTGGGGCTTTTTGGGCCGTCTCGGGCCAGCTTCGAGCCAACTTCGGCCATCTTGGTGGGTTCCTGGCACGTCTGAAGCCGTCGGAAGCCGTTTGGGGGGCCTCTATGGGCCGACTTGGGGCCCGCTTGGAATGCTCCAGGGCCGTCTTGGAGGCCATCTTGGGCGTCTGGGAGGCCATCTTGGGCGTGTTGGAGGCCTCTTGGGCCCTCTTGGGGCCCTCTAGGGGCCATCTTGGAGGCCACTTGGGCCATCATGGGGCTCTCTTGGGGGCCTCTTGGGCGATCTTGGGGGCTTCTTGGGCCGTCTTGAGCCGTCGGAGAGCCGAAAAGGCGCAAATGCCAAAATCCTTCAAAAACCAATGGACAATCAATGATTTTGGCCTCTTCGGACTCTCCTGGAGGACCTCTTGGAGGCCTCTTGGGCCGTCTGGGAGGCCTCTGGGGGGCCTCTTGGGCCGTCTTGGACTCTCTTGGGCCGTTTTGGAGGCCGTCTTGGACCATCTCGGGCGAACTTGGAGGCCATCTTGGACCATCTTCGCGATTTTTTGAGGATGTCCCGAGCGAAACGGCCGTTTTTGGGCATTGAGAGATGGGTTTGGGGCAATTCGCGGGTGGCCGGCGGGACGGGCCGAAGCCCACTGGGGAGTTCTTTTAGAAAAAGAACCAAAACCAAAACCTGAATCATCCAGCACGCCGTGCACCCCTGCAAGCAGGGGGCGGCGGACCTAGCGGCTTTCGGCTCATCCCGCCACCGTGCCTGAGTTGTGGGTTAGAGGCATTTCAGATGTTCGTTCGGATATCGTGGAGGCCTCTCGGGGGCCTCTTGGGTGCAGTTTTGAGGCCTCTTGGGGGCCGTGTGGGTGCCCCTTATGGAGCTCTTTTTGAGCCTCTTGAGGGCCTCGTGGGGCAACCGGGGGTCCTCCTGGGGGCGACGGAGGGCTCGAATTGTTTTTTGTGTTTCTCCCTCGTGGGGCCGTCTTGGGGCCCTCATGGGCTATCTTGGGCGCCCCCTGGGCCGCTTGGGGGCCCTCTAGGATCGTCTTGTGGCCTTCTTGGGGGCATACTGGGTCGTCTTGGGGCGGTCTTGGAGGCCTCTGGGGCCAGACTGGAGCGTCGGCGGCTCGAACACGCGAGAGCGCGAAAAACATCAAAATACACAATGCGAATCAATAGGTGGAACCCCTCTCGGGTGAATCAAGCACGACCAGCGAGCGCGCATGCTCTGAGTCAAATTTGCAGAGCGGCGCCCTGCTATTGAGAGAAGGAGCAGTGAACGCCCACATGCTCCGAGGCCACTTAGCAGAGCGGCGCTCTGCTAATCAGAGCCCGAGCAGGATGGGGGAACCCTGCTCTGAGGCAAGTTCGCAGAGCAGCGCTCTGCTAAAGAGGGGAGGAGCAGCGATTGCGCATGAACTGGCGCGAGTAACCAGAGCGCCGCTCTGCTAATTGGAGCCCGGACAGTTCGGAAATGCATGGTCGGGGCCCCTTGTTTGAATCCAGGATTCAGGACAGAGACCACTCGAGAGTTTGGGGGTAACTCCAATTCGTGCCTCACGGCACGGTGGCGCATCGATATCAAGAAAGCGAGAGAGAAACAGAAATATAGAGAGAGAGAGAGAGAGAGCGAGGGGACTGAACGAGAGGGGGAGAGTTGGAGAGAGGGAGGGCAGCGAGAAGGAGGGCGGGAATGGGGAATTGAGGAGGTAAGGGCGGCAGGTAGGGAGGCAGGCGGGGCTACAAAGGCAGCTAGGCAGGGAGCAACAGCCGCGGGCACGTATAGCCCCCCTTCAATTTTACCGAGCGGCCCCCGCGCGCACCGGAACCACCTGAGCGATGCAAGCAAAAATTTGTCCAACTACGTCGATATTCGTGCGTAATCTGCCCGCGTAAGGTCGCGCATAAACGGTTTCGTCTCCAATGTTGCATGCCGCGCAGGCGGCCCGCGTAAGCTACTGAACAAGGTCGCTATGCCATCTCGCGTAAGACCCGTTTCTTGTCTTCGCCCACCTGTCCTACGCGGTCCAACCGTCCAAGCGACGCCCCACCCCCCCGGCGCGATCCGCTTCCCGCGCGATTCTTCAGAGGAAGAATGTGCGATACTGGCACCACCAGCAGGGCCGACGCCTGTGAAGACGTTCGCGATGCTTTCCCGAGCTGTAGATCGGAGACGTCTCGCGCGGGCCGCCAGGAATCAGCGCCGCCAGAAAGGCCATCCGATGCATCTCATGATAGTGATGTCGGTGCCGATCATTCTTGGTGTACCCCTCTTTCGTTGAAAGTAGGTATTTCTGGATTCCCAGATTCCAATCTATTTTCAGCGCCTTCCTACTTCAAGAGTCGAGTGGTTTTCCCTCGTCCTTCCTCTTCAGGAGGCGGGCGGAAACCTAATGTATTTCCAACGCCTTCCTACTTCATGTTTCTACCTACTTCTTCCGACCGATGGGCATTCCTGGCGACACGTGTTGGACCCTGGGTTCTCTGCCCGGCGAGGGACGGCTGCGGTGCCGTGCAGCATGCGAGCACGGCAGCCGGAGCTTCACGGCTACGAGGCGGCGGAAGCTGTGGTTGCCCACCCGCCCCCTCGGGCCAGGCGCGTCTGACTTGGGCCATCTGGGCAGTTTCGTTTGAGCCCGATCCTTGAAACTGTGTTCTCGCGAATCTCAAGCAAGAGAAAACGGCATACAGTCGGGGCCCTGAAGAAGGAACCCTTTTCGTTGGGGAGGGGCTCGGTGTTCCTTGACTGTTCTACAGTTTGCCTTCTGTTTTCCTGAGGTTTTCCATAGGAAATCGAAGTTCAACTTATGGAAAAATGGGGCCTCGTTCCGTATTTAGGGTTCCTTAGGTCAACGCCCCGACTGTATCTTGGGCCATTTGGGCAGTTTCGTTTGAACCCGATCCTTGAAACTGTGTTCACGCGAATCTCAAGCAAGAGAGAACGGCATAACGATAAACAGTCGGAGCTCCGCGCGGATCTCGTGGGTTGGCGCCTGGGCCCCCCTGGCGGCGCCTCTGGCGCCGTCCCTGGCGCGCTCACGAAATCCGCGTGGACCTCCAAAATTTTTCGTTGACGCCGTTTGTTCTTCATGTAGTTCCGAGCAGCGACGACGACGCGAATCGGGGAAAATGTTTGGTACCATCCGCGCTGGCAACACGCTCTGAAATCAAAAGAAGCACCGTCCAGAAGCCAAGGCCTCCCTGAAAGCGAAGGGTTCATTGACAAAAGGTTCTCGGTGAGTCCAGCACTCGCGTCCCAGGAGGAAGTTGTGTCGTATGGTGGCAAATTAGTTGGAGCCGCCATGACGCACGTCAAACAACGCGGTGCAGCAACACGTCGTCCAGCCACCCACTCCGTCTGGGCCGGGGCGCCCCCCGGGGCAGGCGCTGCTGAACGCCAGGGCGGACATCGAGAAGAAGGCCCCAGCCCGCTCCGCGCGCCTCGGGCTGCTGATTGCGAGCTTGCGGCGTCTTCCTTCTTCCCTTCTGCGACACCCCCCTGTCCTTCCTCGTCGATTCGAACGGTACCTCTGTGCTTTCATTCTGCCTTTTCCCCTTCAATTTAGGCTAGCGTGCACGTGCCCGTGTCATTCGCGCTTTACTTTTTGTCTCACCGACTTCTGCGTAGCGGAGTTTCGGCTGCGTGATCTTCTGCCGTTGCGGCCACCATGGCATTCTCTTGCCGCGTTGCCTCGATGGCACCCGCTCCACATCTCAAACCTCGTCGTGTTCAGCATGCTCATCATGTTCACCGTGTTGGCCGCGCTCAACATCCCAACCCGACATCGAGCTGGACCGTGTTCATCGTTTTCGATTCTTTCCATCCGTCCAACGCGGCAGTCGGCGGCCTTCCTGGGACCGTCAGGGCGGACCCCGTCCAGCCGCCAGGATTGCCCACGGGGGACGCGCACTCGCACAGTTGACAAAAATATTTCGTCAAAACCATAGAACTGCGGGCACGCGCCGCTTTTTTCGGCGCCCCTCCTGGGCTTGCCCAGACTATCTGAGCAGCTCGCGGACCCAACGATTCCATGGCATCCGCCAGTGGGTGTCGTCTCCAATGCCAGTAAGTTGATTGACGCGACGTTCATGTATACGGTGCTGGTGGCGAAGGATCCCAGGCTCCCTGCGGATGCGTTGCGGGAGCCTTGGAAGAATGAGGCAACGGACACGACGACTCCAATGCATCCGCCTGCGGGTGTAACTGCGGGTGGCAGATAGTCGACTGATCCGACGTTCACACACGGTGTGTTTGCGAAGCGCCCCGAGCTACTGGTGACCACGCTGCCAGAACCAAAGCATACCCATACAGAGCGAAGCGATGAGATAATGAAAGGTCTGACGACTATGTTGTCAGCACTCCCGGGGGCCGCAATACGAATCTTATGTTCTTCGTCGTCGTCTTGTTGGCACCTGCCCGCCCACATTGTTGACGCACTCCCAGCTATCTGGCAGACCAGGATCCCGATGCATGTGCCTCTTGGTCATCGTACAGTGATTGGCGCCCAGTGCAGAGCATACCTGACGCACGACGCGCATTCCCATGACTATGTCGTGGGATGCCCCGAATGCCGATCGCTCCACAGTATGCGACGGTAGGGAATGCCCAATACGCTGATGATGAAGAGCATACCCGGGACAGTCACCCACGACGGTTTCGAGGCTTTCTACCCGAGCAACGCCGCTGGTGGCTCATGGACTCCAGCACCGCCTCGATACGCCGAGGGGTCTCCACTCTAGATGGATGGCCATCGAAGTCGGAATGGTCGCTGCCACCAGCTGCATCGCTTGCGTGGACGCGAGCGGCGGCGGTGGCAGCAACTTTTCGACGCCTCCGACCCCCGGGGGGCACGAGCAGCAAGCTCGCGCGCCTGTCCAAATCTGGGCGCGGGAGGTCATGATGTCCGACTTCAACGAGCTCCGCCAAGAGGCCTACGTCTCGCCCCGCCCCACTGGCACGTCGCGCGAGGACGTGGGCGAGGCGCCGGCCGCCCCAGTCCGAGAGGGCGCGTCAACGGCGACCCAGCCCCGCCGATGATCTTCCAGACGCACAGTCCGGCCAAACGGCGGGGCACATCTGCGGGGGGGAGTGCGCCCGAGCAGCGTCGGACCTGCTGGACTTCAACCAATTGCCGCTGGAACGCATCGACAACCCCCTCTCCAGGTTCGACATCTTTTGCAACAAGGCGCATCAGGCGGGTCAGCTCATGATCGGCCACGAGGGGCTCGCGCTGCGGGCGCGTCGAACATGCAACTCGCCATGATCTCGCGGTGCCGCGGCGCGGCCAACCCCGCGATCGCGCGGCGGCCGTCGCGCGTGACTGGTCAGCTGCGACGGCTCGTGCGCGCGATCGAGGGCAAGCTGGGCAATTTCGTTTCCGCAGTCCACTCGGCCCCACGCCGCGCGTTCCTCGCGGGTGCGCCTTCGCAAGTCGGGGCTCTGAGCGCATGGCCCCCGCCGGGTCGAGCCGGGACTGCGCGGGCCCCGCCGCCCCGAGAACAGGGCCGAGCGCCTGCAGCTCCAGCCGCCGCCGACTCTGGCGCGGCGCTCTCACCGCGGGGGGCGCGCCCAACAGAACGCGCCAGTGCAGGCGCCGACCCCGACGCGAAGAAGTTGCTGCCGACGACCCCGAGATGCGCGATCTCCATGTAGAACATCGCGGCGCGCGTCTATTGTGGGCCCGCGAACGCGCCCGCCCGCGACGGCGCGGCATCGGCGACCTCTTGCCCGCGCGCCGCGCCTGGAGGGTCATCGCGGGCAAGAGCAGCGGCCATCGCAAGGGCAAAGCGCCCCCCTGGCAGACCTATCCGAAAACGACCTTCGGGAAGCTTCCGCTGGCTTCGGGAGGGGCAAAAGCAAGGGGGGGGGCCAGGACCAGCGGCAGGCCGCCAAGGTGACGCATTTCATTGGCCCTCACGGGGTGTTTCTCAAGTGCTTCGATTGCTTCGACTCCGAGCATCGCCCCGCGAGCGATTGCCCTGGGCGCCGCCGGCAAGCGCGCGCTCCCCCCCCCCGCGCCCCCGCCCAAGCAGCGCCGCCGCTGCCGCCGACAATTGCCGCTTGAACATCTGGGGCATCAGGGGGCGCCTGGGCCAGCGACTCAGCAGCCCGCGCCAGGCGCGCGCGTTGCTCGGGCGAGGAGGGGCGCCTCCGAAACATCCAAGTCTTTGACTGGGCGCCCCCGGCGAAGGTGGCCCAACGCAGGGCGCCGACCCCTGGGGCGGCCGCCGGCCGACTGCAGCGGCCGCGCCGCAGCGGCCTGCCGCGGCTGCAGCGCCATGTGCGTCATCCGACGGCACGCGGCAGGCAGTGGGCCGCAGCCATTGTTCGAGTTTGGCAGGGGCCTCGGTTTCTTCGTCCACCCCCAGCTCGCGCGAGGCTGGGCTGCGATGACAACGCCTGGCAATGGCTGAGCTCATGGGCCGCGCGCAGCAGGACTCCGCCCCGCTCGCGGGTCCGGCAACTACTTTGCCGGCCCGCGCGGCGCGATTGGGAATGATGCGCCGGCCGCGCCTGCGGCGCCGACAGGTCCAGCAGCATCGCCAGAACCGCGACCGCCGAGACCGCGTCGCCTGACCAGAGCGGCCGGCGCCTTCCCGCCTGGGCGTGCTCGAGGGCGCGTCTGGGCTGGCGACATCAACGCGCGCGTCGCCGCGCATCAGTTTCAGCTGTCGGCATCATCGCGCAAATTTGGATCCAGCTCCATGTGGCCACCGCATTCCGCTCCGTTAACCGCGTCGCCGCCAGCGCCGGGATCTTCCCGGGACTCGGCTCCGTTCAATCAGAACGCCTCCATCAACGGAGAGAGCGGCCACGTGCGCCGCCGGCAGCGAGACCTGGATGTCGGGCGGCGGCCCAACCTAACGCTGCGCGAGCGCAGCCCCCCGGCGAGAGGGCGGCGCGCCTGCGACGCCGCCGCGCCCCCCCCCCCGGGCGCGCCAGTCGCAGCCGATGCAGAACGCCGACGTTCACTTGGCTCGCTGCCCGGCGCGCCGAGGCCCAGCCGACGTCGTCGCCGTTTTCCGCATCATCGGTGCAGGTCGTGCCGCGGCGGGCCCGACGTCTTAAGCCGCTGGCCCGCGCGGCGGGCCCGTGTCCGACGGGCCCGGCCGACGTCGCGTCTGAGGAGGCCGCGCCACGGCAGGACTTCGCGCTGTCTGATGGGCCGGCCCCGGCCCCCCGGGCACCTCGGCCGGCTCTCGTTCGCGCGCCAGGCACGGCTGATGCGGCACCACTGGCGCTCACCTGGGCCCGCGCATGCCGCCGCGCAGGCCCGCGCCCCCGCGGCGGGCTACATCTCCAGGGGCAGGCGCGAGCTCATCGAACGACTCGACGCGCTTCCCGGCGAGCGCCGACCTCGCGGGCGGCCGCGCCGGCGTCGTCGTGGACATTGGCGCCCGGGACAACCTCTGATTGCGCTTTGCAGCGGGTCTGGCAGACGTGGCCGGGCAGGCGCGGACACACGACACGCGCTACTTCAACGGTAGGGGAACTGCGCGCACCATTGCATCCATCTCACAGAACGGATGCACGCATCTGCGTCCATCATAGCAATGGGACCATGCCAAAAATGGCTGTTCTATCACCGAAGTGTTGGACAAAAACCTGCGCCTTCACGCGCAGAGCCAGGATTGCCTGCTGCGCGCGCCATCTGCGACCTTGTTTATCTGTCCGCGCCACGCTGTGCCACTCGTCGCACAGCGATAGAACTGCTGGGCGGCCGAAATTTTCCCGCGATTGAAAGAGGGACGCGCGTTCGGCCAAACTTGTCAAGAGTGCGCGGGCAACGTTGCAGCGGTTTCAAGTCGGATGGTTGCGCGGAAGCCGTTGCCGCCGAATGTGAGAAGGGAGTGGGGCGCCCCGCTAGATGCGCCTGCGCGCGACAGCGCGATGCGGCGCCTCTGCGGAGCAGCGTCGTATTGCCGTACGTTTTTTTACACATATAGCGATGAGCACGCGCGCGCGTCATGAACCATTCGCGCCCGCACACGTCACGCAAACAACGTTCCAACATCGCGCGCGTTGCTCCTCGCGACGCCGCGCAGCGCGGTTTCGCGCGGGATTGCGATGCCACGCTGCCCATATCAGAAGCCGCTTCTTGCCCTGTGCGCCGCGTGGTGCCTCACGGTGCTGTGGTGCGCCTCGCTACGTGTTGCAGTCGCATTGCACTTGAAGTACACTTGCGCTACGCTTGAACTACACGTGAGCAACGCTTGTAATGCACTTGAACCGCGCGTGGAACATGCTTGATTTAAGCTTGGACGACAGAACTAGAAGGCTAGCACCTGACTGCACTTGAGAACACTTGGATTACACAATAACTACATGTCAAACACATGGGGAACAACCCGGCCACACTTCAACTACAGTGGAACTAACTTTGAGATGCACTTGCACTACACCTGAAGCATACTTGAGC